ATGGCCTGGAGAGCTTCCGCGTGGCGCCCGACGGCGACGACACCCACGCGCTCTTCGCCAGTGAGACCCCCCCCGTGTCCCCCCCACCGTGCCCCCCGAGTGTCCCCTGGCCTGACCGGGTCCCCGGTGCCGCAGAGAAGCTGTGGACGGCGCCGGAGCTGCTGCGCATGGAGGAGCCGCCGGCGCGGGGCACGCAGAAGGGCGACGTCTACAGCTTTGGCATCATCCTGCAGGAGATCGCGCTGCGCAGCGGCGTCTTCTACGTGGAGGGCATGGACCTCAGCCCCAAAGGTCAGCGGGGACATGAGGAGACACTCAGGGGACCTGCTGGGGGGTGGCTGGAGAGGATGGTGGGGTCTGGAGGTGTGGATGGGTGGTTGGAACAGTTGATGGGTTCTTGGGTGATCCATCCATTCTTGGATGTGTTCATGGGTGGTTGGAACCATTGATGGGTTCTTGGATGATCCATTGATCCATTCTTGGATGATCCATTGAGCAATTCTGGGATGTGCTCATGGGTGGTTGGAACCATTGATGGGTTCTTGGGTGATCCATTGATCATCCAAGATGATCGTTGGATGATCATTGATCCATCCATTCCTGGATGTGTTGTGGGTGGTTGGAACCATTGATGGGTTCTTGGATGATCCATTGATCCATTCTTGGATGATCCATTGAGCCATTCTTGGATGATTCATTGAGCCATTCCTGGATACATTGGTGGGTGGTTGGAACCGTTGATGGGCTCTTGGGTGATCCATTGATCCTTTCTTGGATGATCCATTGAGCCATTCCTGGATGCGCTGGTGGGTGGTTGGAACTGTTGATGGGTTCTTGGGTGATCCATTGATCATCCAAGACAATTGTTGGATGATCATTGATCCATCCATTCTTGGATGTGTTGGTGGTGGTTGGAACCATTGATCCACTCTTGGATGTGTTCATGGGTGATTGGAACCATTGATGGGTTCTTGGATGATCCATTGATCCATTCTTGGATGATCCATTGATCCATTCCTGGATGATCCATTGATCCATGGATGTGTTGGTGGGTGGTTGGAACTGTTGATGGGTTCTCGGAGCTGGTGATGGATGGTTGGACACGGTGATGAGTTTTTGGACCAGGTGACAGGTTCTTGGACCAGGTGATGGGTTCCTGAACCTTCCAATGACTTCCTGGACCCACTGATCGGTTGTTGGACTCATCATTGGATGTTGATGGGTTTTTGGACCTTCTGATGAGTTACTGGACTGGCCAATGGGTGTTTGGACACACAGATGGGTTTTTGGACCCATTGATGGGTTTTTGGACCCACAGATGGGTTCTTGGACCTTCTGATGAGTTACTGGACTGGCCAATGGGTGTTTGGACACACAGATGTGTTTTTTGGACCCATTGATGGGTTCTTGTACCTTCTGATGAGTTACTGGACTGGCCAATGGGTGTTTGGACCCACGGATGGGTTTTTGGACCCGCTGGTGAGTCCTCGTGGGTGACGGGTCCCGGTCCGCGCAGAGATCATCGAGCGGGTGAAGAGCGGGGAGCGGCCCAGCTTCCGGCCCTCGGCCAACGTCGGCTGCCACCTGGAGGAGCTGGGGCAGCTGATGCAGCACTGCTGGGCCGAGGACGTCCTGGAGCGCCCCGACTTCAACCAGATCAAGGTCCAGCTCCGCAAGTTCAACAGGTGAACCCCCAGAAAGGGTCCCTGGGTGAGGGGTGGCCTCCAGAGTGGGTCCCTGAGTGGGTGGTGACCCCAAGGAAGGGTCCCAGGATGAGGGGTGACATCCAGAGAGGATCTTGGGGAGGGAGGTGACCCCCAGAAAGGATCTCCAGGTGAGTGGTGACCCTCAGGGAGGGTTTCTGAGTGGGAGTTGACCCCCAAAAAGGGTCCGTGGGTGGGAGGTGACCCCTGAAAAGGGTCTGTGGGTGGGAGATGACCCCAGGGAGGTTTCCCAGGCAGGAGGTGACCCTCAAAAAGAGTCCATGGGTGGGAGATGACCTCCAAAAAGGGTCCATGGATGGGAGGTGATCCCTGAAAAGGGTCCGTGGGTGGGAGGTGATCCCTGAAAAGGGTCCTTGGGTGGGAGGTGACTCCCATAAAGGGTCCATGGATGGGAGGTAACCCTCAAAAAGGGTCATTGGGTAGGAAGTGACCCCAGGGAGGTTTCCCAGGCAGGAGGTGACCCCCAAAAAGGATCCATGGGCGGGAGATGACCCCCAAAAAGGATCCGTGGGCGGGAGATGACCCCCAAAAAGGGTCTGTGGGTGGGAGGTGACCCCTGAAAAGAGTCCTTGGGTGGGAGACGACCCCATTCCCGCAGGGAGAGCAGCACCAACATCCTGGACAACCTCCTGTCCCGCATGGAGCAATACGCCAACAACCTGGAGGAGCTGGTGGAGGAGCGCACCCAGGCCTACCTGGAGGAGAAGCGCAAGGCCGAGGCTCTGCTCTACCAGATCCTGCCCCAGTGAGCTCCGGGAGGGTCCTGGGGGGCACCCTGGGGGCCGTGCCCGCCCTGACCCCCCACCTCCTGCCGTCCCCCAGCTCGGTGGCGGAGCAGCTCAAGCGGGGGGAGACGGTGCAGGCGGAGGCGTTCGACAGCGTCACCATCTACTTCAGCGACATCGTGGGCTTCACGGCGCTGTCGGCCCAGAGCACCCCCATGCAGGTGGTGACGCTGCTCAACGACCTCTACACCTGCTTCGACGCCATCATCGACAACTTCGACGTCTACAAGGTGAGGGGGACGCCTTTGGGGGCGTTTAGGGACGGGTAGGGGCACGCAGGGATGTGTTGGACGCGCTTGGATGCTCTCGGAATGTCCCCGTGGGTGGCATGGGATCCCAGGATCTGAAAACACCAGGAATCCTGAGTCAGGGAATGCCAGAATCACGAAATCCCAGAATCGCAAAATCCCAGAAGCAGGGAATCCCAGAACCCAAGAGTTCCAGAGCTCCAGTTTCCTGGAATTCTAATATTCCAGAATCCAAACATCCCAGAATCCCCGTACCCCAAAATCCCAGAATCGCAATACCCCAAAATCCCAGAATCCCTGAGTTACAATACCCCAGAATCCCAGAATCCAAGCACAACGAAATCCCCAAATATCCCAGAACCCCAATACCCCAAAATCCCAGAATTACAGAATCCAAGAACACAGAATCCCCAAATCCCAAAATCCCAGTACCCCAAAATCCCAGAGTTACAGAATCTAAGCACACGGAATCCCAAATCCCAAAATCCCAATACACCAAATTCCCAGAATTACAGAATCCCAAAATCCCAGAATCCCAATACACCCTAATCCCTGAATTACAGAATCCAAGCACAATGGAATCCCCAAATCCCAGAATCCCAACACACCCAAATCCCAGAATCCCAGAATCCAAGCACAACGGAATCCCCAAATCCCAGAATCCCAACACACCCAAATCCCAGAATCCCAATACCCCAAAATCCCAGAATCCCAGAATCCAAGCACAACGGAACCCCCAAATCCCAGAATCCCAGGATCACTGTGGTAGGAAAAGCCCCCCCAGCCCATCGAGCCCAACCCGTGCCCGTCCCAGCGCCCCCGGTGCCACCCCCAAGCGTTCCTGGGACACCCCCGGCCCGGTGTCCCTCCCTTCCCGGGGCCGTAGCCCGCGGAATTCCCGGGAATTCCCGTTGTCCCGCAGGTGGAGACCATCGGCGACGCCTACATGGTGGTGTCGGGGCTGCCGGTGCGCAACGGGAAGCTGCACGCGCGGGAGGTGGCGCGGATGGCGCTGGCCCTGCTGGACGCCGTGCGCTCCTTCCGCATCCGCCACCGGCCCCAGCAGCAGCTGGAGCTGCGCATCGGCATCCACACCGGTGGGGAGGGAATGGGAACGGGAATGGGAATGGGGACGGGAACGGGCATCGGCATCCACACCGGTGGGGAGGGAATGGGAACGGGGACGGGAACGGGAATGGGAATGGGGATGGGAACGGGGACGGGGATGGGAATGGGAACGGTAACGGGAACGGGCATCGACATCCACACCGGTGGGGAGGGAACGGGGACGGGAACGGGGATGGGAACGGGAATGGGCATGGGAATGGACATCCACATGGGTGGGACTGGGAACTGGAACAGGAAGGGGAAGAGAAAGAGGGACAGGGACAGGGACAGAGGGCACGGAGGTGGGCAGCGGCGGTGGCCCGGGGCTGGCACAGCGGGACAGCGGCACCCCGGGGGTGACAGCCCCGGTGTCCCCAGGCCCGGTGTGCGCGGGCGTGGTGGGGCTGAAGATGCCGCGGTACTGCCTGTTCGGGGACACCGTGAACACGGCCTCGCGCATGGAGTCCAACGGAGAGGGTGAGGGGGACACCAGGGGGACACTGCGGGGACACCCTGGGGACACCCTGGGGACCCTCTGGGGACACCCTGGGGACACCACGGGGACACCCCGGGGCGCTGACAGTGCCACCCCCCAGCCCTGAAGATCCACATCTCGGGGGTCACCAAGGCCGTGCTGGAGGAATTCGGGGGCTTCGAGCTGGAGCTGCGGGGGGACGTGGAGATGAAGGTGAGGCTGAGCCCCCCAAAACTGCCCTGAGCCCCCCAAAACTGCCCCAAACCGGGGGTACCCCCCCCACACCCGGGGCACCCCAATTTCTCCCTGCACCCCAAACCCAGGGTACCCCAAATTCCGGGCAGGGGTTCCCGGGGGGTTCTCGAACGTTCCCGGGGCTCTCGAACATTCCCGGGGGTTCTCGGTTGCTTTCCCAGGGGTTCCCGGGGGGTTCTCGAACGTTCCCGGGGATTCCCGGGTTTCCCCCGCACCCGCGGGTGGGCGGAGCCTCTCCGCGCTCAGCCCCCGCCCCCTCCTCCCCATTGGCCGATCCTCCCTCTATGCCCCGCCCATCAACCCCCGCCCACCCACCTGTCACTCATTGCCCCTCCGCCGCTCCCATTGGTCGACTGCAGCGGGAGGGGCGGGACTTTCCTCCCGCGCCGCGCTTCCGCTTCCGGCCGAGCGCCTCCGCCGCTCTCCGGTAACTTCCGGCCGGCGCCGCCTCCCCGGGCCCGGACCCAGCGGCCCCGGCGCGGCCCGGGAGGCCCCGCAGCGGCTCCGAGCCCCGCCCCGGGCCCGTCCCGGCCCCTCCGCACCCCGGGCAGCCCCGGGGCCGCCGTGCCGCCGTTGCCCCGGGCAGCTCCCGGGGATCGCCGCCGAGCGCAGCGGGCGGGGCTGCCAGGGGGGCCCCCCGTGAGGGGGGGGGTTGGTTCTCCCGGGCCATGGAGCTCGGTAAGGGCAAGGCGGCGGCGGCGGGGAAGCTGCTGCTGAGCTCGCTGCTGGACTGCAAGGATGAGCTGGAGGAGGTGGGGACACCGGGAACACCGGGAATACCGGGAACACCGGGACAGCAGGGACACCGGGAGCGGGCTGGCAGCGGGAACGGTTCCCGGGGGTCCGGGGATGCTCCTGCTCCCAGATCCGCCGGTCCAAAATTCCCAAAATCCCCTCAATCCCCGCCGGGTGTGCCCGGAGCTTCCCGGGATCTGGGGATGCTCCTGGTGCCAAATTCCCCCAAAATCCCCCAAATTCCCAAAATTCCCAAAATCCCCGCTCGGTGTACAGCAGCCTTCCTGGGATCTGGGGATGCTCCTGACCTAAAATCCCCTAAATCCCCAAAAATCCTTCCAAATCCCCAAATCCCCACCAGGTGTGCCCCAGCCTTTCTGGGATCTGGGGATGCTCCTGGTCCCAAAATCCCCCAAATTCCCAAAATTCCCAAAATCCCCGCTAGGTGTACAGCAGCCTTCCTGGGATCTGGGGATGCTTCTGACCCAAATTCCCCAAAAATCCCTAAAAATCCTCCAAAATTCCCCAAAATCCCTCAAATTCCCAAAATCCCCGCCAGGTGTGCCCAGGATCTGGGGATGCTCCTGGTCCAAAATTCCCCCAAATTCCCAAAATTCCCCAAATCCCTACTAGGTGTGCCCCAGCCTTCCTGGGATCTGGGGGTGCTCCTGACCCCAAATCCTCAAAATTCCCCCAAATTCCCAAAATTCCCACCAGGTGTGCCCCAGCCTTCCGGGTTCTGGGGATGCTCCTGACCCAAAATTCCCCAAATTCCCCCAAATCCCCCCATTCCCGTGGCCCTTCCCCCCCTGCCCGTGTTTGGGGTACCTGGAGCTGCCCCGGGACGTTTTTTGGGGACAGAATTCCCCTCTTGGCCATTTTTGGGAGCTGCTTTCCCCCATTTTTCCCTCATTCTTTTTTTCCCCATTTTCCCCCAGTTTCTCCCTGTTTTTTCCCCGTTTTCTTTTTCCTCTTTTTCCCCCATTTTTCCCCATTTTTCTCATTTCCCCCGTTTCTCCCTGTTTTTCTCACATTTCCCCCATTTTCCCCCCATTTTCCCCCATTTTTTCCCATTTCCCCCCGTTTTCCCCTGTTCTGCCCTGTTTTTCCCCATTTTTCTCACATTTCCCCACTTCCCCCCATTTTTCCCCCTTTTTTCCATTTTCCCCCCTGTGCTGGCACATGTGTCACCCCCCGTGTCGCGCTGTGCCCCGTGTCCCGTGTCGTGTCCCCCGCCGTGTCCCGTGTCCCCCGCCGTGTCACCTGTCCCCGTATCCCCTGTCCATGTCCCTGTCCCCGTGTCCCCCGCCGTGTCCCGTCCCTGTCGCTGTCCCCGTTTCTCATGTTTTTCTCATTTTTTCCCCCATTTTCCCCCGTTTTTTCCCCGTTTCCCCCCCATTTTTCCCCTTTTTCTCACATTTCCCCCCATTTCCCCCATTTTTCTCACATTTCCCCATTTTCCCCATTTTTTCCCCATTTTTCCCCATTTCCCCCCTGTTTTTCTCACGTTTCCCCGTTTTTCTCACATTGTTTCTCCCCGTTTTTCCCTGTTTTTCCCCCGTTTCTCTCACATTTCCCCGTTTCTCTCACATTTCCCCCCCGTTTTTTCCCCATTTCCCCCCGTTTAATGGGAATTCCTGCTGGGAAAATGGGAATTCCGGCTGGGAAACTGGGAATTCCCAATGGGAAAATGGGAATTCCGGCTGGGAAACTGGGAATTCCCAATGGGAAAATGGGAATTCCTGCTGGGAAAATGGGAATTCCTGCTGGGAAAATGGGAATTCCGGCTGGGAAACTGGGAATTCCCAATGGGAAAATGGGAATTCCGGCTGGGAAATGGGAATTCCCAATGGGAATGGGGATTCCCAATGGGAAATGGGGATTCCCAATGGGAAACTGGGAATTCCTGCTGGGAAAATGGGAATTCCCAATGGGAATGGGGATTCCTGCTGGGAAAATGGGGATTCCTGCTGGGAAATGGGAATTCCCTGCTGGGAACTGGAAATCCTGGGATTTGTGGGTCCTGGATGGGCTCTGAGGAGCTGGGAATTGGGAAATTGGGATTTGGGAATGGGGAATTGGGATTTGGGATTTGGGAGTGGAGCTGGAGCTCCCCCCCCTCAGCACTGGCAGAGCCAAATTCCAGCTCATGGGATTTCCCAGGAAATTCCAATTTCTCCATCCCCACTTTGTTCGTTATTCCCAATTAAAGACAGGGAGCAGGGCCTGCAGGCCTCATTCCCATAAAATTCCCACAAAATTCCCACAAAATTCCCACGTGAGGGAGGGAGAGCTTTTCCCCTGGGAGAGCTTTTCCCCCTAAAACAACCCCGGGGTGTCTCAGATTCCCGGGATTTGGGGGGGTTTTCCCTTCCCTCCCTCCCTCCCTCCAATCCCAGCTGGAATCCACCTGGAATTTTGGGAATTTCCCCCCCAGATCTGCAAAGGGACCCCCCAGCACGAGGAGATCTGCCTGGGGCTCTTCACCCTCGTCCTGACTGACCCAGCCCAGGCGCAGAAGGTGAGAAAAACCTGGGAAAGGGGAGGGAATTTTGGGGAATTTTGGGGAATTCGGGGAGCCCTGACCCGTGGAACATTCCAGAATCCCGGTGCTGCAGGGCACAGGCAGCTCAGCTCCCTCCCATCCCAGCAATTCCTGGGATTTGGCCCTGCCAGGCACATCCTGGTTTGTTTTGTTTTTTTTTTTTTTCCAAGGGTTTTTCCCGGTTTTTTCCTCGCCCTGGGACACGTGGAGTGGGTTTTTCCTGCGTGGGATTCCTCTGGAATTCCTCCCCTGGAGGAGCTGCTTCCACACCTGGGATCCCCAATTCCTGGGGATCCCCAATTCCTGGGGATCCCCAATCCCTGGGATTCCAATCCTGGGATCCCCAATCCTGGGATCCCCAATTCCTGGGATCCCCAATTCCTGGGATCCCCAATTCCTGGGGATTCCCAATTCCTGGGATCCCAAATTCCTGGGATCCCAATTCCTGGGATCCCCAATTCCTGGGATTCCCAATTCCTGGAATCCCCAATTCCTGGGATTCCAATCCTGGGATTCCCAATTCCTGGGGATTCCCAATTCCTGGGATCCCAAATTCCTGGGATCCCAATTCCTGGGATCCCCAATTCCTGGGATTCCCAATTCCTGGAATCCCCAATTCCTGGGATTCCAATCCTGGGATTCCCAATTCCTGGGGATTCCCAATTCCTGGGATCCCAAATTCCTGGGATCCCAATTCCTGGGATCCCCAATTCCTGGGATTCCCAATTCCTGGAATCCCCAATTCCTGGGATTCCAATCCTGGGATTCCCAATTCCTGGGGATTCCCAATTCCTGGGATCCCAAATTCCTGGGATCCCCAATTCCTGGGATCCCCAATCCCTGGGATCCCAAATTCCTGGGATCCCCAATTCCTGGGATCCCCAATCCCTGGGATCCCCAATCCCTGGGATCCCCAATCCCTGGGATCCCCAATCCCTGGGATCCCCAATCCCTGGGATCCCCAATCCCTGGGATCCCCAATCCCTGGGATCCCCAATCCCTGGGATCCCCAATCCCTGGGAATCCCCAATTCCTGGAATCCCAAATTCCTGGAATCCCAAATTCCTGGGATCCCAATTCCTGGGATCCAATCCTGGAAGCAAAGCCTGGGAGAATCCCATCCCATTTTTGGGGATCCTGGCACGTTCCCTTCCATGGATTCCTGTGGAATTCCTCCCCTGGAGCAGGAACCTGCTCGTTTCCCAGGGAAAATGGATTCCCAGGGAATTCCAAACCCTGGATCAGCTCTGGGAGCAAATCCAGAATCACCTCATGGAATTTTTCCTGGGAATCTGATTTTTCCTTGGATTCCTTGGCCCCCCTGAGCATTCCCAAATCCTTCCCTGGAGGAGCTGAATCCCTCCAGGATCCCTTTTCCTGAGGCAGGCAAAGCTTTTCCTGCTTTTCCAGAGCTGCTTTTCCATGGAATTTCCCCTCCAGGAGCTGCTCTGGGGCTTTCCACGCCTGGAAGCCAAACCTGCTCTGGAATTTTCCCCTGGAATTTTTTTCCCCTGGAATTTTCCCCTGGAAAAGGGAATTTTCCCTGGGCAGTGGGGCGCTGCTGTGGCTGCTCCCAGAGCTCGTTTTTCCAAGGGGATAATTGGGATAATTGGGATAATTGGGCTGATTGGATGTGGCAGGCTCTGCTGGAGCCAGGCAGGGATTCCTGGTTCCTGCTGGGATTTGGGATGGGCTTAACCCCTTCCTGCCTGGGCAGGGTCTGCTGAGCCAGGAAAAGCCAAATTCCCAAAAAGCTGCCCCAAAATCTGCCCCAGGGACCCCAAAGCTGCCCCAAAACTTGGCACAGGGACCCCCAAAGCTGCCCCAAAACTCTTTCAGGACCCCAAAATCTGCTCCAAGGACCCCCAAACCTGCCCGGGGACCCCTCCAGGACCCCAAAATCTGCCCCAGTGACCCCAAATCTACCCAGAGACCCCTCCAGGACCCCAAAATCTGCCCCAGTGACCCCAAACCTACCCAGAGACCCTTCCAGGACCCCAAAATCTGTCCCAGTGACCCCAAACCAGCCTGGGGACCCTTCCAGGTACCCAAAATCTGCCCCAGTGACCCCAAAATCTGCCCCACTGACCCCCAAACCTGCCCTGGGACCACTCCAGGACCCCAACATCTGCCTGGGGACCCCCAGAGCTGCCCATTCCCCCCCCAGTGTCCCCAGCTGGGCACAGCTGCCTTCAGCTGCCCTCTGCTCCTCCTCCTCCTCTTCCTCCCGCTGCAGTCGGTGCTCTGGCAGCCCAGGGATGCTCCCTGCCCCCCCTGGCTGTCCCTCCCCACCCCCCCGGGGCTGTTTGCTCTCCCTGGCCCCTCGTTTGAAGGCTCCATTAATCACGGTGTTAATTAAACAGCCAGGCCCCCCGCCCCCGCCCCGGGGAGGAGCCCCTGGGTTGTGTCAGCCTGGCAGAAATGAAGGAATTCAGGGAATTCTCCCTCTCCTGTCTGTGCTGGTGACATTTTCCCAGCCCTGGGAGGGGGCTGGGGGTTCATTCCAGGTTTTTTCCAGGGTTTTCCCTGTGGATCTGAGGGGAGGAGCTGCCAGGGAATGGGATTGGGATTTTCTGGAGCTTTTCCAGCTGCTCAGTCAAGGATAAATCCCACAGATCCTGCCAGGAATGACCCCCCCACACACCAAGCTCTCCCTGCTGGGTTGGTTTCCCCCCAAATCCGTGGATTTTCCCATCCTTTCCAGCTCAGGGATGTGTTTCCCACTCTGCTTTTCCCTCTTTTCCCCCCAGTGCTACCGGGACCTGGCGCTGGTGAGCCGGGACGGGATGAACATCGTGCTCAACAAGATCAACCACATCCTCATGGAGAAGTACCTGAAGCTGCAGGACACCTGCAGGACCCAGGTCAGGGGTCCCTGGGCTCCCCTGTCCCACCCAAAATCTCCTGTCCCACCTGGAATCTCCTGTCCCACCCAAAATCTCCTGTCCCACCTGGAATCTCCTGTCCCACCCAAAATCTCCTGTCCCACCTGGAATCTCCTGTCCCACCTGGAATCTCCTGTCCCACCCAAAATCTCCTGTCCCACCTGGAATCTCCTGTCCCACCTGGAATCTCCTGTCCCACCCAAAATCTCCTGTCCCACCTGGAATCTCCTGTCCCACCTGGGCTCTCCTGTCCCACCTGGCATCTCCTGTCCCACCTGGGCTCTCCTGTCCCACCTGGGATCCCCTGTCCCACCTGGAATCTCCTGTCCCACCCAAAACCTCCTGTCCCACCTGGGATCCCCTGTCCCACCTGGAATCTCCTGTCCCACCTGGAATCTCCTGTCTCTCCTGGGATCCCCTGTCCCACCTGGGCTCTCCTGTCCCACCTGGAATCTTGTGTCCTACCCAAAATCTCCTGTCCCACCTGGAATCTCCTGTCTCTCCTGGGATCCCCTGTCCCACCTGGGATCCCCTGTCCTACCCAAAATCTCATGTTCTACCCAAAATCTCCTGTCCCACCTGTCTCACCTGGAGTTTCTTGTCCCACCTGGACTCTCCCGTCCCCCCTGGCAGGGGATGAGCAGAGAGGAGCAGGGGGGGCTTGGAGGGAGGGGTGGGATGGGGTCATGGGGGGCTCTGATCCCAAATTGCAGCTGGTGTGGGGAGGGGTCTGATCCCAAATTTCCGTGTGCAGCTGGTGTGGCTGCTCCGGGAGCTGGTGAAGAGCGGGGTGCTGGGAGCTGATGGAGTCTGCATGACCTTCATGAAGCAGATTGCAGGTGAGCTGGGAATGCTGGGAATGGCTGGGAATGTTTGGGATCTGAGCTGGGAATGCTCAGGAATGCTCGGGGTCTGATTCTGTGGGGAGCCTCCCTGGGATGGGAGCAGGCAGTGGGCAAATCCCTCTGCTCCATCCAAATCCCTCTGCTCCACCCAAATCCAAATCCCTCTGCTCCATCCAAATCCAAACCCCTCTGCTCCATCCAAATCCAAATCCCTCTGCTCCATCCAAATCCAAATCCCTCTGCTCCATCCAAATCCAAATCCCTCTGCTCCATCCAAATCCAAATCCCTCTGCTCCATCCAAATCCAAATCCCTCTGCTCCATCCAAATCCAAATCCCTCTGCTCCATCCAAATCCAAATCCCTCTGCTCCATCCAAATCCAAATCCCTCTGCTCCATCCAAATCCAAATCCCTCTGCTCCATCCAAATCCAAATCCCTCTGCTCCATCCAAATCCAAATCCCTCTGCTCCATCCAAATCCAAATCCCTCTGCTCCATCCAAATCCAAATCCCTCTGCTCCATCCAAATCCAAATCCCTCTGCTCCATCCAAATCCAAATCCCTCTGCTCCATCCAAATCCAAATCCCCCTGCTCCATCGAAATCCAAACCCCCCTGCTCCATCCCAATCCAAATCCCACTGCTCCATCCCAACCCCTCTGCTCCACCCAAATCCAAATCCCCCTGCTCCATCCCAAATCCCAACCCCCCTGCTCCATCCCAACCCCCCTGCTCCATCCAGCTGTTTTTCCCCGGCGCTTTTCCAGGTGGGGACGTGACTGCCAAGAACATCTGGCTGGCCGAGAACGTTCTGGAGATCCTGACAGAGCAAAGGTACCCCCGGGAATCCCCCCCCAGCCGCATTCCTGCCCTCCCCACATTCCCAAAGCAGGAATTCCCAGCAGTCTGAAGGTGCCCAGGTCCCCAAATCCTGAGCAGGGCTGAGGAGCAGGCGTGGCTCGGGCCCAGCATCCCGGGAATGTTTCCTTCCTGAGCAGTGGGGGAGGTTTTCCTTTGGGAGCAGTGGCCTGGAGTTGATTGCCCAGAAAGTTTCCTGTGTTTGGGCAGCTCCTGCTCCAGGCTGGGCCATCTGGGAAGCTCATCCCTGGCTCGGCGTTGTCCTGGAGCCACAGAATTCCTGGCTTCAGGATTCCCCAGGCAGGGCTGGGAATTGCTTTGCTGCAGGCTCCCTAAAATTCCCTAGGAATTCCCTAAAATCCGGGATTGCCCCGTGTGCCATGGAGCTGCTCCAGCCTTTGTCCAGCTGGATTTGTCCTGGGGTTGTTGTTCCTGGGATCCAGAGCCAGCAGGAGCCACCTGAGCTGGATTTTCCAGTGTTTATCAATTCCATGTCCATCACCAATATATTTATCAATTAATATCTGTATCGTTTAATATCTTTATTATTTATTGTCTTTATTATTTATTATCTTTATTACTTATTATCTGTATTTATCAATACCTGCCTTTATTTGTTAATACGTGTTTATTAATTCATGTTAATTAATAATACAGTTATTAATTAACATCTTTCCTGATGCCCTGGGCGATGGTTCCAGGTGACACCAACCCTGTCCCATCAGTGCTGCTGCCCCATTCCCGGTGTTCCCACCCCTCAATCCCACAAAGATATCATTTAATGTCTTTATAATTTATTATTTGACACATTCCCCAATTAATACATTAATTTATTTATTAATTAATCATTTAATCACCTTTACTGATACCCTGGGCGATGGTCCCAGGTGACACCAACCCCGTCCCCCCTTTGCCTCTGCCCCATTCCCGGTGTCCCTGCTCAGGGAGAGGGTGAGTGCCTGGGATAGGAATGGGATTGGGATGTAATAAGGATTGGGATGGGAATGGGATCCTGCATCTCTCTGCTGAGGGATAGGGTCAGTGGGTTGGGATTGGGGTTGGGATTAGGAGTGGGAATGGGATTGGGAGTGGGATTGGGATCCTGCATCTCCCTGCTCCAGGAGCAGGCAGTGGGTTGGGGTGGGATCCTGTTCCATGGGAAGGGCAGTTTGGGATGGGGGCACTCCAGGCCTCGTTTGGCTCTGGATGGAGCAGGACCCCCCAGAGCTGGGATTTCTCCCAAATCCCAGAGCTGGGATTCCTCCCAAATCCTCCCTCCCCATCCTCCCCCAGCTCCCAGCGCCGCCAGGGCCGGCCCGCGGGGCCCGGCTGCAATCCTGGGGGAAAAGTGGCAGATTTATGGGCTGAGTGTTTGCTTTGGGAGGGAGAACATTCCAGAACAGCTGCCGACCCTCCCTGCCCGTGCTCCCCATCCCAGCCTGTGCCTTCCAGCGGGGTGGGATGCCAGGGATGGGGCGGGATGCCCGGGATGGGGCGGGATGCCCGGGAACGGAGCGGGACGTGCCCGGGCTGGGGGAGCCGGGGTTCCTCCCTGCCCTGCCCCCATCCCCCTGCTCCCAGCGGGATTTTTCCCCCTTTTTACAGTTCTTGGATTGTTTCGTGGCATTTTCCCAGTTCATGGATTGTTTAGTGGATTTTTTCTTGGGATTTTTCCTTCCCTTTTTCCCAGTCGATGGATTGTTTCAGTGACTGTCTCATGGGATTTTCCCCTTTCCCAGTTCATGGACTGTTTCATGGCATTTTTCCCTCTTTTCTGAGTTCAGTGACTGTTTCATGGCATTTCCCTCTTTTCCCCAGTTCATGGACTGTTTCATGGGATTTTTCCCTCTCTTTCCCAGTTCATGGACTGTTTCATGATCGGCCGGGACCTGGTGCGCTTGCTGCAGAACGTGGCGCGGATCCCGGAGTTCGAGCAGCTCTGGAAGGACATCCTGCACAACCCGCAGGTGCTCAGCTCCCAGTTCACAGGTACCAGCCTGGAGCATTCCCTCTGCTCTCCCAGCACCCTTTTCCAGGGGTTTTCCAGTGCTTCAGAAGCATCCAGGCCTGCCCCATCCCAGAAAACCCCGTGGGATCCTTAAAGTGGTGCTGCTCCTTCTGGGCTCTGCGCTTCCGTGGTTTCTCCTGCCTGGAATTGTTCCAAGCTGGGTTGGAACAGTCTGATCCGGTGGGAATTGTCCCTGCTCGTGGACTGGGTGATCTCTGGGTGATTCCAGCCCAAAGCAGTCTGCAATTGCAGGATAATCAGAGTTATTTCCCTTAATTAAGTGATTTAAAAGGTGAGCCCGAGCTCTGACGTGACTGAGCAGAGCCTGGAGAGGCTCCAGGAATTCCAGGAGCTGCAGCAAGTGGCACTTCCCTGGGATTTAATTCCTCCCAGTAGCCTCATTCCATGGGAAGGGTGATGGATTCACCAGCTTTGTTGACATTAATGATATTCCCATAAATTGTTCCCTTCTCCGGGCACTTCCCCAGCAGGTTCTGGATGCAGCAATTCCAGGGAAATGTGGCTTTGAAGTGTTCCCACCCCTCTGGATCCTGATTAAATCCATCCTAAGCACCTCAGATGTTGCTCAGGGAATTCCTCAGGACGTGTTTGAGCCCTTTTCCACCCAAATTCCCATTCCCTGCCCAGGTGTGCTGCAGCTCCTGCAGTCCAGGACCTCCCGCAAGTTCCTGGCGTGCCGCCTCACCCCGGACATGGAGACCAAGCTGCTCTTCATGACCTCACGGGTAATCCCTGGGTGCCCAAATTCCACCTGGGTTCCCAAATTCCCCTGGGTGCCCAAATTCCACCTGGGTTCCCAAATCCCCCCAGGATTCCCAAATTCCCCTGGGTTCCCTCCAAAATTCCACCTGGGTTCCCTCACAAATTCCACCTGGGTTCCCTCCCAAATCCCCCCTGGATTCCCAAATTCCCCCTGGGCTCCCAAATCCCCCCTGGATTCCCTCCCAAATTCCTGGTGCGTTCCATCCCAAATTCCCCATGGATTCCTTCCCAAATTCCTGGTGGGTTCCATCCCAAATTCCCCCTAGCTCAGGGTCCTGTGTGTCCCCACTGCCAGCCGTGTCCCCAGCCGTGTCCCATGTCCCTGTCCCCAGCCCTGTCCCTGTCCCCAGCCATGCCCCGTGTCCCCAGGTGTGTCTCGTGTCCCTGTCCCCAGTCCTGTCCCATGTCCCCAGCCCTGTCCCATGTCCCCAGCCGTGTCCCCAGCCCTGTCCCATGTCCCCAGTCCTGTCCCATGTCCCCAGCCCTGTCCCCAGCCCTGTCCCCAGCCATGTCCCATGTCCCCAGCCCTGTCCCATGTCCCCATCCCTGTCCCCAGGTGCGCTTTGGGCAGCAGAAGCGTTACCAGGACTGGTTCCAGCGGCAGTACCTGTCCACCCCTGACAGCCAGTCCCTGCGCTGTGACCTGATCCGCTACATCTGCGGCGTGGTGCACCCGTCCAACGAGGTGCTGAGCTCTGACATCCTGCCCCGCTGGGCCATCATCGGCTGGCTGCTCACCACCTGCACGGTCAGAGCCCGCACGGGCAGGGCTGGGCTGGGGGAGCCCGAAAATGGGGAAAGGGTGGGCTGGGGGGGCCTGAAAATGGGCAAGGGTGGGCTAGGGGAGCCCAAAAATGGGGAAAGGGTGGGCTAGGGGAGCTTGAAATGGACACAGGATGGGCTGGGAGAGCCCGAAAATGGGGAAAGGGTGGGCTGGGGGGGCCTGAAAATGGGCAAGGGTGGGCTGGGAATGAGAACATCCCAAAAACAGGAGCAGGAACATCCCAAAAATGGGGCACGGGATGGGCTGGGAGCAGCTGATCCCAACAGGGGGAAGAGCAGGATGTTAGGGATGTGAAGAGGGAGGATTTTGGGTGAAGAGCAGCACGTTAGGGATGTGAAGAGGGAGGATTTTGGGGGAAGAGCAGGATTTTAGGGATGTGAAGAGGGAGGATTTTGGGTGAAGAGCAGCACGTTAGGGATGTGAAGAGGGAGGATTTTGGGTGAGTCTTGGAGGTTTCCCAACATTGGGTTTGGTCACGGGGGGATCTCGGGGCTCTTGGAGGGATCTCAGGGAATCTTGAGGGGTCTCAGCATTGTCCTCGTGGGGTAATTTGGGTTTTTTTGGTCTCCTGCAGTCGAACGTCGCTGCTTCCAACGCCAAGCTGGCGCTGTTCTACGACTGGCTCTTCTTCAACCCCGAGAAGGACAGCATCATGAACATCGGTGAGGAGGGGGCCCGGGGGGACCTGCCCGGGGTGGGATCTGCCCAGGGGTGGGATCCTGGGGGGGAACCTGCCTGGGAATGGGATCCTGGGATGGGATCCATGGGGTGGGACCTGCCTTGGGATGGGATCCATGGGGTGGGACCTGCCTTGGGATGGGATCCTGGGTTGGGATCCATGGGGATCTGCCTTGGTTTGGCATCCTGGGATTGTTCCTGGGGTGGGATCCATGGGATGTTCCTGGGATGGGATCCTTGGGCTGGGATCCGCCTTGGATGGAATCCTGGGCTGGGATCCACCTTGGGATGGGATCCTGGGCTGTTCCTGGGGTGGGAACCACGAGGATTCACTTTGGGATGGGATCCTGGGGTGGGATCCATGGGGATCTGCCTTGATTTGGTGTCCTGGGGTTGTTCCTGGGGTGGGATCAATGGGCTGTTCCTGGGATAGGATCCTGGCAGTTCCTGGGATGGGATCCATGGGGATCTGGCTTAGTTGGGGCCCGGGGGGACCTGCCCATGGGATGTTCCTGGGGTGGGATCCATGGGGATCTGCCTTGGTTTGGGATCCTGGGCTGTTCCTGGGGTGGCATATGGGGTCACTGTGACCCAGGGCAGCCCTGGACCCCGCTGCCCCTCAGCCCCTGGATCCCACCCCGTGGATCCCATGGATCCAGCCTGTCCCAGCCCCTCGGGAGCCCCCCAGGAGCGGGCCTTGGGGGTCTCTGGGGGCTCACCCCGTTCCCTCCCGCAGAGCCTGCCATCCTGGTCATGCACCACTCCATGAAGCCCCACCCGGCCATCACGGCCACGCTGCTGGACTTCATGTGCCGGGTGAGCGCTTCCTGCTCCTGCAATTCCCAGGGCTGGGCAAAGCTGGGAGAGAACTCCACAAATCCCACCCAAAAAGCTCTTCCCTGGGATTCCCCCCAGTTCCAGAGTCACCTGAACCTCCCTCCTCCCAAATCGAGGAGGGATTTTCCCTTTGCTGCCAAATTATCCCCAGCACTTGGTGGGAAGAATCCAGAGCGTTCCTGGAGTTCTGGGATCCACGTGTCATCCATTAGTGGTGGGAAGGCAGCACTGCCAGCAAACCCTGCCTGTGGTGGAGGAAAAAGCTTCTGGATTGTTCCCTCATGGAATTCCTGGTCCAGCCCTGTCCCCGGGGGGGGATCAGAGTGTCAGGGAATGATCCAGAGTGATCCCTGTCCCATCCCAGGGTGGGAAAGCAGCGCCAGGAGCTGCTGCTTCCAGGAACTGGGGGGCTGGGGGTGTTTCTGGGAAGGGCCTGGAGCTCCCAGTCCAAACTGGGGGAAGGTTCCTGGGATGTCCCAGGCTCCAGGGAGGAATCCCAGCCCTCCCTGCAGGAGCCAAGGCTTGGACAGAGCCAAGCACTCGGGGCTCTTCTCCCACAGCCTGGAATTTCCTGCCCCTGGCAGGGATTTTCTCCCACTGGCAGAGCCCCTGACCCTGCTCTCCACCCCTGATCTCTTCCAGATCATTCCCAATTTCTACCCCCCTCTGGAAGCCCACGTCCGCCAGGGCGTCTTCAACTCCCTCACCCACATCGTGGAGAAGCGAGTCCTGGCGTAAGAACCCCGGGGTTTTCCCCCACGTTTTCCTGAATTTCCAGCATGGACACGGCTGCCCCTGGGTCTCTCCTGGAGCTCCGAGCCCGTGTTGTTCTCCACGAAACCTTGGGAGCAGCCAGGATTGTCCTGGGGGCTGTCCTGGCCAGGGAATTGGGATTTCCCAGGAATTCCAGCCCCTTCTGCCGCTCCTGGTGGCACAGGGGGGGATCCCAGGGAGCTGCAGGTGACAAAGCCCAGCATTCCCAGAGGGATGAGGCCCCATCCCTGGTCCCTGTCCCACCCCACGCAGGCACCTGGCCCCGCTCTTCGACAACCCCAAGCTGGACAAGGAGCTCCGGGCCATGCTCAGGGAGAAATTCCCGGAATTCTGCAGCTCTCCCTCGCCCCCCATCGAAGGTAGGAGATGTGGGGGGCTCCTGGCAGATCCCCCCTGAGGGAGTTTTCCATGGAGGAATTCCGTGGACGGGTCGGGCGAGCCCTCCAGGGTTGGGATTTTATGGAGTGAAACTGGGATTTAGGGAATTGTGGGTGCTCCAGTGCTCCCTGTGCCCCGGGGGATCCCTTCCCAAAGCACCTGCGGCCCTTTCCCGGGGCTGTTTTTTTGGGAGAGGCCTCACCTGGCTGGGTGCTTGGTGCCAGTGAAAATCGAGGAGCCGGTTCCCATGGAGATGGAGAATCACCTGGAGAAGGATGACGGTTGCTATGACAACGCCGAGGCCGCCTTCAGCGACGATGAGGAGGAGCTGAACAGCAAAGGTGAGGGAGGGAGCTCCTGGAATTCCCCAGGGACACCCAGATCCCACCAGGCTGCAGAATTCCCTCAGCTCCTCAGCCAGGAGCTGATCCCGCCGGGGGATCCCGGCTTTCCTCCTGCTCTGGAGGAGCAGATTCCCAAATCCGCTGGTTCTGGAGCTGTGCCCAAAGGGGTTGTTCCCTTTCCTGGCTGTTCCCAGGAGCTCAGAGCACTTTTCCAGCCCCAAATTCCCTCTGCTCCCCCTCTGGAGCCATTCCCAGCCTCGCTGGTCGGATCCTTGTGGGATTCCCGCTGTTCCAGGGGGGTTTCCCAGTAGTGGGATGTGGCCTGGGAGCCCCAGAATCCCAATCCCAAATTGTGCCTCCTTGGAGATGCCTTGGGAATGTTGGAGGCTCGGTTTTGGGCACGGGGACTGAGCAGGGACCACAATCCCAGACATTCCCACCTTTATCCCGAATCCCTGGAGCCTCCGGGGGAGGAAGGATCCAGGACAGGGATTGCTGGGAAGGAGGAAAACCCCTCGTTGCCTGGTTTCAGGGAAGAAGAGGGAGTTCAGGTTCCATCCCATCAAGGAATCCATCGTGGAGGAGCCCGTGGACATCACCCCCTTCCTGGAGCAGCTGGACGAGTCCCTGAAGGACAAAGTGCTGCAGCTGCAGAAGGGCAGGTGGGGCCATTCCCAATCCCAACCCCATTCCCAAGGGTCTCTCCAGGCCTCCCAGAGCTCCTTCAGCCCCGTGGAGAGGGAATTCCTGCAGGGAAAGGGCTTGGGAAGGAGAGCCCTGGAGCTCCGAGCGCCCGGGGGAGGCTGAGCAGAGCTCAGCGAGTCCGTGGAATTCCTGGCTCTGAGTTCCCTCCAAATCCTGATTTTAACCCTGGAATTCATCCCCCCGACACCCACACACCTGGGCCGACCCCGACCCCGTCCCCAGCTGCCCCTCCCAGTGCTCCCAGTGCTCCCAGTGACGGGATTCCCTGTCCCTGTGCCCTGCAGCGACACGGAGGCGCAGTGCGAGGTCATGCAGGAAATCGTGGATCAGGTCCTGGAGGTAACGGGGCAGGATCTGGGATCTGGGATCTGTCCTGGATGGGGTCTGGGATCCATTATGGGTGGGATCTGTGATTTGTCCTGGCTGGGATCTGGGATCCGTCATGGGTGGGATTTGGGATCTGTCCGGGATGGGATCTGGGATCCATCATGGGTGGGATCTGGGATTTGTCCTGGCTGGGATCTGGGATTTGTCCGGGATGGGATCTGGGATCCATCATGGGTGGGATCTGGGATCCATAATGGGTGGGATTTGGGATCCCTGGCTCTGGAAACCCATCCGGAGCAGGCTGGGATTCATTCCCGTGTCCCCTCCCTGTGTCAGGCAGTCCCTGAGCCCCCCCCGTGTCCCCCCGTGCCAGGCGGGCCCTGAGCCCCTCGCTGCCCTTCCCAGGAGGATTTTGACTCGGAGCAGCTCTCGGTGCTCGCCTCGTGCCTGCAGGAGCTGTTCAAGGCTCACTTCCGCGGGGAGGTCCTGCCCGAGGAGATCACGGAGGAGTAAGGAAGGGCTGGGCCCCCCTCCCCTCAGCTGGGCCTTTCCCTGGGATATTCCCAGCTTTGGAAGTGGCTTCCATGGGGAGTTCCTGCTGGGCTCACCCAGACCGGCTCCTTCTCCGGGGTTTTCTTGCTGGGATTTGTCCTGGCTGGGATCTGGGATTTGTCCGGGATGGGATCTGGGATCCATCATGGGTGGGATCTGGGATCTGTCCTGGCTGGGATCTGGGATCCATCATGGGTGGGATCTGGGATCCATAATGGGTGGGATTTGGGATCCCTGGCTCTAGAAACCCATCCGGAGCAGGCTGGGATTCATTCCCGTGTCCCCTCCCTGTGTCAGGCAGTCCCTGAGCCCCTCCTGTGTCACTCCTGTGTCCCTCCCATGTCCCCTCCCATGTCACTCCTGTGTCACTCCCTATGCCAGGCAGGCTCTGTGTACCTCCTGTGTCCCCCCCGTGTCCCCACCCGTGTCCTCCTGGCTGGGATCTGGGATTTGTCCGGGATGGGATCTGGGATCCATCATGGGTGGGATCTGGGATCTGTCCTGGCTGGGATCTGGGATCCATCATGGGTGGGATCTGGGATCCATAATGGGTGGGATTTGGGATCCCTGGCTCTGGAAACCCATCCGGAGCAGGCTGGGATTCATTCCCGTGTCCCCTCCCTGTGTCAGGCAGTCCCTGAGCCCCTCCCATGTCACTCCTGTGTCACTCCCTATGCCAGGCAGGCTCTGTGTACCTCCTGTGTCCCCCCCGTGTCCCCCCGTGCCAGGCGGGCCCTGAGCCCCTCGCTGCCCTTCCCAGGAGGATTTTGACTCGGAGCAGCTCTCGGTGCTCGCCTCGTGCCTGCAGGAGCTGTTCAAGGCTCACTTCCGCGGGGAGGTCCTGCCCGAGGAGATCACGGAGGAGTAAGGAAGGGCTGGGCCCCCCTCCCCTCAGCTGGGCCTTTCCCTGGGATATTCCCAGCTTTGGAAGTGGCTTCCATGGGGAGTTCCTGCTGGGCTCACCCAGACCGGCTCCTTCTCCGGGGTTTTCTTGGAGCTGGAGCTGCTGCGGGATCGTTCCTGCCTCCCCAGCGGGGTCCGGGGCTGTTCCCATTCCTGGGGAATCCTGGAGGGCTGTTCCCATTCCTGGGAAATCCCAGAGGGATCCAGTACTCTTCCCATTCCTGGGAAATCCCAGAGGGATCCAGTACTCTTCCCATTCCTGGGAAATCCCAGAGGGATCCAGGGCTCTTCCCATTCCTGGGAAAACCCAGAGGGATCCAGGGCTCTTCCCATTCCTGGGAAAACCCAGCAGGGTCCAGGGCTGTTCCCGTGCCATTCTTGGAATAACTTGGAGGGATCCAGGGCTGTTCCCAGGGCTGTTCTCGTGCCATTCCTGGGATAACTTGGAGGGATCCAGGGCTGTTCCCAGGGCTGTTCCCGTGCCATTCCTGGGATAACCTGGAGGGATCCAGGGCTGCTCCCAGGGCTGTTCCCAGGGCTGTTCCCGTGCCATTCCCAGGAAAGCCCTGGCCGTGGCTGCTCCGGCAGCTCAGCGTGTCCGTCTGTCCCCAGGTCCCTGGAGGAGTCCGTGGGGAAGCCCCTGTACCTGATATTCCGGTAGGACCTTCCCAAATCCTGGGGAATTCCGGGCCTACCTGCTTCATCCCAGAAACCCCAGCGGTTTCCCGCTGCCCTCTGTGGCATTCCCGGCGGGAATCCGGGGCTTTCTGGGGTTCGGGATCCCGCCGACATTCCCGCTTTTCCCAGGAACCTGTGCCAGATGCAGGAGGACAACAGCGGCTTCTCGCTGCTGCTGGACCTGCTCTCCGAGCTCTACCAGAAGCAGCCCAAGATCGGCTACCACCTGCTCTACTACCTGAGAGCCAGGTGAGCCCGGGCCCCGCCCTCCCGGGCTCCGCCCACGAGCCTGGCCCCGCCCTCCCGGGGCTCCTCCCTCTCTCCTGTGACTCCTCCCTCTCCTGGCCCCGCCCTGCTGTGACTCCTCCCTCTCACCCGCTTCTCACCTGGATCCCACCCTCACCTTGGCCCCGCCCTCCTACCTGGGCCCCTCCCGTGCCTGTGCCTGTCCCTGTCCCCGGTGGTGGCGTGTGCCAGCTGTGCCAGCTGTGTGGCAGGTGTGCCAGGTGTGTGCCAGCGATGCCAGCTGTATGCCAGCTGTGTGCCAGGTGCCAGCTGTGTGCCAGCAGTACCAGGTGCGTCCCAGCTGTGCCAGGTGTGTGGCAGGTGCCAGCTGTGCCAGGTGCCAGGGTGCCTGTGTGCCAGCAGTACCAGCTGTGTGCCAGGTGTGTGTGAGTGGTACCAGCTGTGTGCCAGGCGTGTGGCAGCTGTGTGCCAGGCGTGTGGCAGCTGTGTGCCAGCAGTACCAGGTGCGTGCCAGCTGTGTGGCAGGTGCCAGCTGTGCCAGCTGTGCCAGCTGTGGCAGGTGCCAGCGTGGCTGTGTCCCCAGCAAGGCGGCGCTGGGCAGGATGGGGCTCTACGAGTCGTTCGCCCAGGCCACGCAGCTGGGGGAGCTGCACACGTGCCTGATGATGGACATGAAGGCGTGCCAGGAGGACGACGTGCGCCTGCTCTGCTTCCTCACGCCCTCCATCTACACCGAGGTGAGCCCAAAATCCTGTCCCAGGGGTGCCCCAAATCCTATTCCAGATGTGCCCAAAATCCTGTCCCAGCTGTGCCCAAAATCCCATCCCAGGGCTGCCCAAAATCGTATTCCTGGGGTGCCCAAAATCCTGTCCCGGGGCTGCCCAACATCCCATCCCAGGAGTGCCCAAAATCCCATCCCAGGGGTGCCACAGGTCCTGTCCCAGCTGTGCCCAAAATCCTGTCCCAGGTGTGCCCAAAATCTCATCCCAGGGGTGCCCAAAATCCTGTCCCAGGGGTGCCCCAAATCCTATTCCATATGTGCCCAAAATCCTGTCCCAGGGGTGCCCCAAATCCTATTCCATATGTGCCCAAAATCCTGTCCCAGGGGTGCCCAAAATCCTGTGCCAGGGCTGGTGCCCCAAATCCTATTCCATATGTGCCCAAAATCCTGTCCCAGCTGTGCCCAAAATCCTGTCCCAGGGGTGCCCAAAATCCCGTGCCAGGGCTGCCCAAAATCCCATTCCTGGTGTGCCCAAAATCCCATTTCTGGGGTGCCCCGAGTGCCAGGGGTGCCCAAAATCCCATCCTGGGTGTGCCCCAGGTCCCATCCCAGCTGTGCTGCAGCAGAGAATCCCTAAAATTCTCTCTAAATTCAGAAACCTCTGCAGCCATGGAATGTGCAGCTGGATCCCTGCCCATCCTTGGGACCCATCCCAGGGCAGGGTCAGGCTGTCCCTGTGCTCATCCCAAATCCCAGAATCCATCCCAGGGCAGGGTCAGGCTGTCCCTGTGCTGATCCCAAATCCCAGAGCAGGGTCAGGCTGTCCCTGTGCTGATCCCAAATCCCGGGATCCATCCCAGGGCAGGATCCTACTGTTCCCCACAGTGACCACAAATCCCAGCCCGGGTCAGGCTGTTTTTCACACTGATCCCAAATCCCAGGATCCATCCCAGGGCAGGATCCCAGTGTCCTGTGCTGATCCCAAATCCCAGGATCCATCCCAGGGCGGGGTCAGGCTGTTTTTCACACTGATCCCAAATCCCGGGATCCATCCCAGGGCACATCCCTCTCCCCCGGAGCCGCCTCCCGGCCCTTGGCTCCGGCTCTGATTGATTTTGTGTTTCCTGCGAGGCCCCGGAGCAGGGAGCAGAGCCAGGAGCAGAGGGAAAAACAGGGAATTCCAGAGCCTCGGCTGACGGCTGCCCCCCGCTGTCTGCCCGAGCTTGTCCCGGGGGATCCCTGCGGTTTTTGGGATTTTGGGATTTTAGGATGGCTCTCCTCGGTGTCCCCCCCGAATCTCTTGGAGCTTTTCCCAGGGAATCCCTGCCTGGAGATTTTGGGATTTTGGGAAGGTTCACCCCGGTGTTCCCCCCTGAATCTCTTGGAGCTTTTCCCAGGGGATCCCTGGAGTTTTTGGGATTTTGGGAGGGTTCTCCCCAGTGTCACTCCCTGAATTTCTCTGAGCTTTTCCCAGGGGATCCCTGCCTGGAGATTTTAGGAGGGCTCTCCCTGGTGTCCCTCCCTGAACCTGCCAGATCTTTTCCCAGGGAATCCGAGTTTTTGGGATTTTGGGATTTCGGGAGGGCTCTCCCCGCTGTCCCCCACTGAACCTGCCCGGGTTTTGTGCATTCCCAGTTTCCCGACGAGACCCTGCGGAGCGGGGAGCTGCTGAACATGATCGTGGCTGTCATCGACTCCTTCCAGGTGCGGGGACCCTTCCCGGCCCCTTCCCGACCCTTTCCCGGCAGATTTCACCCCAAAATGAGCCATCCACGGCCTCCATTCCCCATCCTCGCCGGAACGAGCCCCAAATCTCCGCGGCTTTCCTGCCGCGGTGTCCAAAGGTCGATCCCAAGCTTGCAAGGGATCTCCTGCAGAGCCATTTCCTGGGCAATCAGCGCTAATTACCCTAATGAGCCCCATGCCCGGGGGATCCCGCTGGCTCTGCCTGAGGCTGGGACGTTCCTGGCAGGAATTTTCCCCGCTCCAGAGCTGCTGTGAGAGCCCAGAAATAGGCGCGGGGGCACCTCTGGAATGCCGGCGCCGGGTCTGGATGTGCCGATAACCCCAATCCCAATCCCAATCCCGGGAATGCTGCGCCAGCAGCTCCTGGAGGGGGCTGGGAGCCGGGAATGCTCCCAGATCCGGAGGGTTGGGGGCTCGGGGCGCTTCCTTCCCCTCCCTGCTGCCCTTCCTTCCTGAGCTTCTCCAGGTGCTTCCCTGGGGGGATGGAGCCAGAGGATCCTGTGGGGTCTGCAGAGGGGCAGGGAGAAGGAGCATGGGAGGCAGGGTGGGAAGGGGAAGCTCCCCCGAGGGATCCCAGGGATGGTGCTGGCACTTTTCCTGCTGGATCCCATTTGGGGAGGCTCCTCAAAGCCCCCTGACCCATTCCCTGTCCCCCCCAGCTCCAGGAGCTCGTGTGCCACGTGATGATGGGAAACCTGGTCATGTTCCGCAAGGATTCCGTGCTGAACATCCTCAGTGAGTGGGAATGGGAATAATGGGAGTGGGAGTGGGAATAATGGGAGTGGGGATGGGGATGGGATTGGGAGTGGGGATGGGATTGGGAGTGGGAGTGGGGACTGGCATGGGAATAGGAACAGGGGTGGGAATGGGAATGGGAACAGGATTGGGAGTGGGAATAGGAGTGGGAATGGAAATGGGAGTGGGAATGGGACTAATGGGAATGGGATTGGGAGGGGGAATGGGAAGGGGAGTGGGAGTAGGAACAGGGATGGGATTGGGAATGGGAGTGGAAATAGGAGTGGGAATAGGGGTGGGATTGGGAATGGGAATGGAAATGGGAATGGGAAGAGGAGTGGGAATGGGGATGTGGTTGAGCAGGGCCCAGGCAGCCCCCAAATCCTGCCCCAAATCCAGGCTTGTCCCTCTCCAGGGGGAGATCCCTGCCGGGGCTGAACTCCCTGCGGGCATTAAAGGATCACTGCCAGGGATTGTGGGGTTTATCCCTGTGCCCGAGGGTGCCAGGCAGGGATGGGCAAATCCCAAAAGCTGCCCCGGCTCCACAGCCTCTCTGTGGGGTCCCTCGGTGTCCCCAGAGCAAATCCCTGATCCAGCTTTGGGAGCAGGGGATAAGCTGTTAATTAGGGAGCCTCGTTAGCTCTGTCCCCGCTGCCAGTGCCGGGGGGGGAGGGGGGACCCCGGGCAGGTTTGGGGTGCCCAGAGCTGGGGAAGGGGCTGACACAGATCCCTGTTAACCCCGCTGTCCCCATCATCCGTCCCCATTGTCCCACTGTCCCCATTGTCCCCATTATCCATCCCCATTGTCCCACTGTCCCTGTTATCCATCCCCATTATCTATCCCCATTGTCCCACTGTCCCCATTGTCCATCCTTGTTGTCCCCACTGTCCCCACTGCCCCTGCCATCCTTGTTTTTCCCATTGTCCCTGTTGTCCTTCTTGTCCCCATTGTCCCTCTCGTCGTCTCTCTGGTCCTCGTTATCCCCGTTATCCCCATTGTCCCCGTTCTCCCTGTTATCCTTCCCTGCTGTCCCTGTCCCCGTCCCTGTCCCTGTCCCTGCTGTCCCTATCCCTGCTGTCCCTGTCCCTGCTGTCCCTGTCCCTGCTGTCCCTGTCCCTGTCCCTATCCCCATCCCTGTCCCTATCCCTATCCCTGTTGTCCCTGTCCCTATCCCTGTCCCTGCTGTCCCTGTCCCTGTCCCTATCCCCATCCCTGTCCCTATCCCTATCCCTGTTGTCCCTGTCCCTGTCCCTGCTGTCCCTATCCCTGCTGTCCCTATCCCTGTCCCCTATCCCTGTCCCCTGTCCCTGTCCCCGCTGTCCCCATCGCCGTGCGTGTGGCGCAGTTCAGAGCCTGGACTGGGAGACCTTTGAGCAGTACTGCACGTGGCAGCTGTTCCTGGCCCACAACATCCCCCTGGAGACCATCATCCCCATCCTGCAGCACCTCAAGTACAAGGGTGAGCGGGACACACGCCTGGGGACATCCTGGGGACATTGTGAGGACACCTGGGGACAGCCCAGGACAGCCTGGGACAATCCAGGGGACATCGTGGGGACATTGCCGGGGTGGGAGACATTCCCAGGGGACATTCCAAGGGAGACATTCCCTGGGGACATTCCTGGGGACATCCTAGGACATTCCTGGGACACCCTGGGACACCCTGGGGACATTGCCAGGGGACAATCCTGGGACATTGCCACCTCCTTCCCCCGGCAGAGCACCCCGAGGCCCTGTCCTGCCTCCTGCTGCAGCTCCGCAGGGAAAAGTGAGTGGGGGGCACCAGGGGGGACCCCCAGAGTGTCCCCATGGCAGGGGGGGTGTGCCTGGGGCCCTGGGGGGGGACACCCAGGGGGTCTGGGGGGCTCTGGGGTGTCCCCACAGGACGGGGATGCACTGCCATACCTGGGCAGAGCCGGAATCCCAGCTGGGGAACTCCTGGGGGTCTGGGGTCTCTCCTGGGGGGGTCTGTGGGTGTCTCCAGGGGCTCTGGGGAGGACTCCAGGGGGTCTCCTGGGGATCTGGGGGTCTCCTGTGGGTTTGGGGGTGTCTCCAGAGGCTCTGGGGGTGTCTCCTGTGGGTCTGGGGGTCCTCCTAGTGGTCCGGGGGTTCTCCTGGGGGTCTCCTGGGGCTCTGGGGGTGTCTGGGGGTCTCTCCTGTGGCTCTGTGGGGTCTCCTGTGGGTCTGGGGTCTCTCCTGGTGGGGTTTCAAGGGGCTCTGGGGGTTCTCCTGGGGGTCTGTGGGCTTTCCAGGGACTTTGGGGGAGGGTCTCCTGGGGCTCTGTGGGGTCTCCTGTGGGTCTGGGGTCTCTCCTGGTGGGGTTTTGAGGAGCTCTGGGGGTTGTCCTGGTGGTCTGTGGGGTCTCCTGGGGGTCTCCTGGTGGTCTGGGGTCTCTCCTGGTGGGGTTTCAAGGGGCTCTGGGGGTTCTCCTGGTGGTCTGGGGGTCTCCTGGTGCCCGTGGTGTCCCCCGCGGGTCTGGGGTCCCTCGCGTGCTCCACGGTGCCCGTGCCCCGGTGCCAGGCCCAGCGAGGAGATGGTGAAGATGGTGCTGAGCCGGCCGTGCCACCCCGAGGACCAGTTCACCACCAGCATCCTGCGGCACTGGGGGCTGCGGCACGACGACCTGCTGGGCGAGCACATCAAGGCCCTGCTGATCAAGAACAACAGCCTGCCCCGCAAGAGGCAGAGGTGGGGCTGGGAATTCCCTGGGAATTCCCTCCCTCAGGATTTGGGGTGCTTTTTGTCCCCTCCCCAGGCTGTACCCCATTCCCACCCCGAGGATTTGGGGAGGTTTTTCTCCTCTGTACCCCATTCCCTCCCTGAGGAGTTGGGCAGGTTTTTGTCCCCTGCCCCGCAAGAGGCAGAGGTGGGGCACCATGCCCTGGGAATTCCGTGCCCCCCATTTCCGTGCCCCCCATTTCCGTGTCCTCACCCCTCCCCTGCTCCTTCCCGCAGCCTGCGCAGCTCCAGCAGCAAGCTGGCCCAGCTGACCCTGGAGCAGATCCTGGAGCACCTGGACAACCTGCGCCTCAACCTCACCAACACCAAGCACAACTGTGGGTTCCCCCCAGCTCCGGGGTGCGGGGTCCGGGCTCGGGGGGCTGCCCTGACCCCCTCCCCACCCCGTCCCCTGCTCTCCCCCAGTTTTCAGCCAGACCCCGATCCTGCAGGCGCTGCAGCACGTCCAGGCCAGCTGCGACGAGGCCCACAAGATGAAGTGAGCCCCCCCACTTTCCTCTTCCTCCCTTCCTGGTGACCCCAAACCCCCCCTGAGCCCCTTTTCCCCCCCTCCAGGTTCTCGGATCTCTTCTCCCTGGCCGAGGAATACGAGGATTCCTCCAGCAAGCCCCCCAAGAGCCGCCGGAAAGCCACGGCGCTGGCCAGCCCCCGCAGCCGCAAGAGCGCGGCGCAGCCCCCCAACAACGAGGAGGAGTCGGGCTCCAGCAGCGCCTCGGTGAGACCCCCCCCATCCTGAGACCACCCTCCCCGTCCTGAGACCCCCCCCCGGGGGTCCCCAAATCCCCCTGACCCCCCCTTCTGTCGCTGCAGGAGGAGGAGGACACCAAACCCAAACCGGCCAAGAGGAAAAGGAAAGGCTCGTCCGCCGTGGGCTCGGACAGTGACTGAGGCTGGGACCCCCCCGGGACCCCCCAGGATCCCCCGGGACCCCCCGGGACCCCCCAAACCGGTGCCAGCAAATCCCCACGGCCCTCCCGGGGGTCCTGGGGCGGGGGGAGGGGCAGCACCCGTGGCCAGCAGGATTTGGGGGGGGTCCTGCCCTCCCCCCCTCCCCCAGGGCTCCCTCAGCATTTTTAAGTGTTTTTAAGAAAAGCAGCAATAAAAACTTTCCTGTTTTGTACCGAACTGCCCCGGTTTGTGGGGGGGGGGGCGGGGGCCGTGTCCCCCCCCCCGGGGGGCCTGGCCGGGGCACGTGGCTGTCCCGGGATGGTGGCACTGGTGGCACTGCCAGCCCCCCCCGAGGCGGGGAGAATCTGGGACAGCAGAGAGGCCTCGGAGGGGGACACGGAGGGGACAGGGAGGGGACAATGGGGGGGACAGAGAGGGGACAGAGAGGGAACAATGGGGGGGACAGAGAGGGGACAATGGACACCGAGAGGACCGGGGAATAGAGGGGGACAGGGGATAATGGGGACCGCGGAGTGGGGAGATCCCGGGGTGTAACGGGGACAGAAGCGGGACCGGGGGATGCCGGGGGTACCGGGACGGGGCGGGACCAGGGGAATAAAGAACGGGGCGGAACCGGGGACGAGGCACGGGGGGCACCGGGGCTGGGGTGGCGACACCGGGGGTGGGCTGGAGGCACCGGGGCTGGGGTGGCGACACCGGGGGTGGGTTGGTGGCACCGGGGCTGGGGTGGCGGCACCGGGGGTGGGCCGGTGGCACCGGGGGTGGGCCGGTGGCACCAGGGCTGGGTTGGCGACACCGGGGCTGGGTTGGTGGCACCGGGCACAGCCACACGGTCCCCACACGGTGCCGTCCCCCCAGAGCTGTTCGGGTCGGTGGAGCCGCTCCTGCCCAGCCTGCGGGAGGACGGCGTGGCCGTGTGGGTGCTGGGAGCGGGGCCGTACCCGCCGGGCGCGGTGGCGCTGCAGGAGCTGCTGGACGCGGCCTCCGAGGAGCTGCAGCCCGAGGACGTTTGGGAGCCCGAGGACATGAACGACACCTGCCTCTACATCTTCACCTCGGGCACCACCGGTGGGACCGGCACCGGGGGGCTTGGCGCGGGGGGGGCTTTGCGTGAACGGGGCAGAGGGGCTCAACTGCGTTTTTCCCTTCCAGGTCTCCCCAAAGCCGCCCGCGTGTCCCACCTCAAGTCCATCATGTGCCTGAGCTTCTACGAGCTGGTGGGAGCCTCCAGCAGGGACGTGGTGTACCTGGCGCTGCCCCTCTACCACATGGCCGGGTCCCTGCTGGGCGTCGTCGGCTGTCTCGGCATCGGTGAGCGGGGCCGGGGCTCCGGGGGGGAGTCCGGGGATGTTTTGGGGTTGATCCCCTGTAGGAGTGTGCCCCCCCTGAGGACAGAGTGACAAAACCATCCTTTGTCACCCAAAAAAAGGAAAGAAGCCCAGAAGTTTCTCTCAACTGTTAGGTGAAAAGTCACCTCATAGGAGCTCAGGGGCTTCACCTAAAACTTAAGGGCAGCTAATTGGATAGGAGCTAAAAAGTTCTGCCTGACCCATCAGGTAGAAAAAAAGAGAACAAAAGAGCTAAAAGGCTTTTGTGAGGTGTTTTTACCAGGAGCAGACCTCTACACCTGGCTGGGGTTTTTCTGTTTATTATTTTGCCTTTTATTAAACCTTTTTTGTTTCCAACACTGCAGCACAAGTCATCCTGCTTAATTTACTCATTTTGGGGGCCCAAAACAGCAGCTGAGCTATCCTTAGGTGTATTACATATTCTTTGGAGACCTTATAAGACCTGGCTCCGAAAAAGAAAATACAATATTATAACAATCCCCCGCTCTCCATCCCTCAGGAGCCACGTGTGTGCTGAAGGAGAAGTTCTCAGCCAGCCAGTTCTGGGACGATTGCCGCGCCGAGGGCGTCACCGTCTTCCAGTACATCGGGGAGCTGTGCCGCTACCTGGTGAACCAGCCGCAGGTCAGGGCGGGGGGCCAGGCCAGCCGGGGGGGTCCCGGGGGTCTCCCCCGGAGCTGACGGTGTCCCCGCAGCGCCCCGGGGAGCGGCAGCACGGGCTGAGGCTGGCGGTGGGCAGCGGGCTCCGGCCCGACGTGTGGCGGAGCTTCCAGCGGCGCTTCGGGCCCGTGCGCATCGTGGAGACGTACGGCATGAGCGAGGGCAACGTCACCCTCTTCAACTACACCGGCACGCCGGGCGCCGTGGGCCGCTGCAGCTTCATCTACAAGGTTCGGGGGGCCGCCGCGGGGAGGGGGAGTCGCCCTGAGCGCTCCCCAAATCCCCCCGCGCCTCTCCCCAGCTCTTCTCGCCGTTCGAGGTCGTTCGTTTCGACGTGGCGGCCGGAGCGCCGGAGCGGGACGAGGCCGGACGCTGCATCCGAGCCCGCACGGGTGAGGAGCGGGCACGGGGGGGCTCCGGGGGGGTGGCACGGGGTGGTCTCGTCACCGTCGCCGTCCCCGCAGGGGAGACGGGGCTGCTGATCGCCCCCGTGACGCGGCGGACGCCGTTCCTGGGCTACGCCGGCAGCCCGGAGCTGTCGGAGCAGAAGCTGCTCCGCGGGGTCTTCGCCGAGGGCGACGAGTTCTTCAACACCGGGGACCTGGTGGAGCAGGACGAGGAGCAGTTCGTGCGCTTCCGGGACCGCATCGGGGACACCTTCAGGTGACCCAGCCCCCCCGGCATGGGGACACCCCCAGAGCCCCCCCCACGGGATGGGGACACCCCCAGACCCACCCCGGGATGGGGACACCCCCAGAGCCCCCCCCACGGGATGGGGACACCCCCAGAGCCTCCCACGGGATGGGGACACCCCCAGAGCCCCCCCCACGGGATGGGGACACCCCCAGACCCACCCCGGGATGGGGACACCCCACAGGATGGGGACACCCCCAGAGGCCCCCCTGCCATGGGGGCAACCCCAGAGCCCCCCCACGGGATGGGGACACCCCCAGAGCCCCTCCCTCCACGGCCAGGAGGACTCAGCCCCATGGAATGTTCTGGGGTCTCTCGGTTGAACATTTTGGGGAGGGGTCTCATCCCCGTCCTGTCCCCTCCCAGGTGGAAAGGTGAGAACGTGGCCACCACCGAAGTGGCCGAGGCGCTGCTGGCCCACGAGTCCCTGCAGGAAGCCACCGTTTACGGCGTCACCGTCCCAGGTACCGCCGGCCCCGGCGCCGCCCCCCGAGCCCCCCCCGAGCCCCGCGGTGTCCCCAAGTGTCCCCTCTGCCGCAGGCCACGAGGGCCGCGCCGGGATGGCCGCGCTGGTTCTGCGGCCCGGCCGCTCCCTGGACGGCCCCGGTCTGTACCGGCACCTGGAGCAGCTGCTGCCGCCGTTCGCGCGGCCCCGCTTCCTCCGCCTGCAGGTAACGGGGGGTCCCGGGGGGCGCTCGGGGGTCTCGAGGGGGGTCCCCAACGCCGGCGCTGTCGCCAGGAGCGGCTGGAGATGACGGAGACCTTCAAGCAGCAGAAGGTGCGGCTGGCGCGGGACGGCTGCGACCCCGCGCTGGTGGCGGAGCCGCTCTTCGTGCTGGACGAGGCCGCCCGAGCCTTCGTCCCGCTGGACCCCGAGCGCTGGCGGCGGCTCCGCGACGGGAGGATGCGGATCTGAGCCGGCCGGCCCCGGAGGCGGGGGTCCCGTGTCCGTCCCGGGGGTCCCGTGTCAGTCCCGGGGGTCCCGTGTCCGTCCCGGGGGTCCCGTGTCAGTCCCGAGGGTCCCGTGTCCGTCCCGGGGGTCCCGGTCAGTCCCGGGAGTCCCGTGTCCGTCCCGAGGGTCCCGTGTCCGTCCCGAGGGTCCCGTGTCAGTCCCGGGAGTCCCGTGTCAGTGCTGGGGGTCCCGTGTCCGTCCTTGGGGGTCCCGTGTCCGTCCCGGGGGTCCCCATGTCCATCCTGGGGGTCCCAGTGTCCGTCCCCGTGTCCATCTTCAGGGTCTCCGTGTCCATTTTTGGTGTCCCGTCTGCGTCCCGGGGTCTCAGTGTCCGTCCTGGGGGTCCCGTGTCCGTCCTTGGGGGTCCCGTGTCCGTTTTTGGTGTCCCAGTGTCCATCCCCGTGTCCATCTTCGGGGTCTCCGTGTCCATTTTTGGTGTCCCGTCTGCGTCCCGGGGTCCCTGTGTCCGTCCTGGGGGTCTCCGTGTCTGTCCCGAGGGTCCCTGTATCCGTCCCGGGGGTCCCTGTGCCCATTTTTGGGGTCCCCGTGTCCATCTTCGGGATGTCCATGTCCATTTTTGGGGTCTCAGTGTCAGTCCCGGGGTCCCCGTGTCCGTCCCGAGGGTTCCATGTCCGTCCTGGGGGTCCCAGTGTCCGTTTTTGGGGTCCCCGTGTCCATTTTCGGGGTCTCAGTGTCCGTCCTGAGGGTCCCGTGTCTGTCCCGAGGGTCCCGTGTCCATTTTTGGGGTCCCCGTGTCCATTTTTGGGGTCCCTGTATCCATTCCTGGGGTCCCTGTGTCCATCCTGGGGGTCCCAAAATCCATCCCGGGGGTCCCCCTGTCCATCCCTGTCCCCCCAACCCCGTGTCCCCTCTCGGGGGTCCCCGTCCCCCCCCCAGCCGCCGGTGCCTTTCCCCCCCGCGGGGGCTCTTTGTACACAGAAAATCCCAATTTTGGGGTCTTTTTTTGGCAAATAAATCTCTTTTGTAGCAAACCCGTCCCTGTCACCCCCAAATCGGGGACAGGACGCCGAGGGCGGTGCCCCCATGTCCTGGAGGTTTTTGGGGGGGAATTTGGGGGGTGTCCCCCCCGATTTGCCACCCCAGCGAACGATTCCTCTCTTAATTAAATCATTATTACCAAGGGCTGAAGTTTAAATTCTTTTTATTTTTAAGCCTTTCTCCAAAATTTGGGGGATCCTCACCCCCTCCCCCCAACTTTGCCTTCAGCCCCGAGCTCAAACCCGATGGAAAAAAAGGGAAAAAATGGGGAAAACTCCTTAAATTTGTGCAAAAAAAGAAAAAAATCCCCATTTCCACCCGCCCCCACCCCCAGCCAGAAATTGGGTTTAAAATCCTGGAAATTGGGGCTGAAATTGTCCAAATTTGGACAGATCAGCCCAAAATTGTGGCT